TTTTAAAGAGGCTAAAAAAAGAAATAAAACCTGGTGTCTCGGGGAAAGATTTGGATAAATTAGCCCGGCAATTAATGGAAGAACAAAAGGTTCAATCATCTAGCCTGGGTTATAAAGGTTTTCCAGCAGCCATTTGTGTGGCTCTGAATGAAGAATTAACGCACGGTATACCTGATGAAAGGACTTTCAAAGAAGGTGATTTAGTTTCTATTGATGTAGCATGTCATTACCAAGGCTATCATGCTGATGCTGCTTTAACCACTATTGTGGGAGAAGGAGATGAAGTGAAAACAAATCTACTGAATGTAACTAAAAATAGTTTATATTATGTGATTCAAAAAATTGTCCCTAATAAGACTACTACCCAAGATATTGGTGCTATGCTGGAAAAATACATAAAAAACCGTGGTTATTATCCTATTAAAGAATATGGCGGACATGGAATTGGGGAAAAACTTCATCAAGAGCCTTTTATCCCTAATTATAAAATTCCTAATAAAGGAGAAATTATTAAAGAGGGAATGTTTATCTGTATTGAGCCACTAGTTCAGGTTGGTGATGACGAGGTGGATGTTTCTGATAATAAATGAACAGTTTTCTCTAAAAATGGTCATCTAAACGCTCATTTTGAACATACAGTATACATTAGCAAGGAAGGGGCTAAAATAATAACTAATTATGACGAATAAAAGTTTTTTTCCTACCCAAGGTGAAGTAATTGAACGAATCAATAAAAAAAAATTTTGGGTTAAATGTGATAATGGTAAAGTAATTGATGCTGATGTGCCGGATCGCTTCCGCACTAAGAGCGGACGAAGAAGAGCCCATATTAATGTTGGAGATAGAGTGATGATAGAGGTAGATGTGAGGGATCAAGCAAAAGGAGATATTGTCTCTTTAATTGAATAAAGTTTAAAATAAATATTATAATGAAAGTTCGTAGTTCCATTAAAAAAATGTGTGAGGGGCGGGGAGGTTGTCAGGTAATCATAAGAAAACGACGTCGTTATGTTTATTGCCAAAAAAATCGCAAACATAATCAAAGACAAGGATAAAAATAATATATATGGTTCGTATTGGTAATAAAGAGATGCCCAAGAATAAGAATATTCGGGTGGCTTTGAGTTATATTTATGGATTTGGCAAGAAGTTTGGTTTCAAATCTCCCTCCCGAAAACTTCTAGAGGATTTAAATATTAATCCTTTTGTCAAAGTTCATGATTTGACTCCTGAGCAAGTTAATCTTATTGAATGAAAAATAAAAGAATTCGTAACAGAAGGAGAGTTGAGGGAAGAAGTGCAGAAAAAAATTAATGAACAAATTCGTTTGAGAACTTATCGAGGAACACGTCGAACAAAAAAACTCCCAGTCAATGGTCAAAGAACCCGTCATAATGCTCAAACCGCTAAAAAAGGGGGAGCGGCTACTCGTAAAAAAATTGCAGTGGCAGGGAAGAAAAAAGCTCCTACTCCAAGATAACCTTGTAAAAAGACTCACAAAAATATTTTTTCAAACTTCCTTTTGTTTATTTATCGATTGTTAATTTAGTTGTTGGTTGATTGATTGGTTTAAATTTTAAAAACAGTAGTAGTTAGAACAGTTATTTGTCTACTTTTTTTGGCAGTCTATTTTAGAGTTTTTTTAATGTCTAAAAGGGACAAAATTATGAAAAAAACCAACAATTGGCAGCATAAAAGTCTTATGAAAAATAAAAATCGGCAACTGAAAAATTTACTGCGGTATTTGTTAATTACAAATTTGATTTGATTTCTAATTTATTTACTAAAAATCTGATTTCTTAAAAAAGTTGACAATTACGCCGAACTCTTCCTAAACACATTTTTAACTGGAAACTGTCAATTTTTATTTATTTCTTCTTTCCTACTTGCTCAGAAAATTGACCAAATCGAAAGCAAAAAATGCCCCTGTTGTAATGCAAATTCTAATCAAACCGCCAAAACTGGAAAAAATTAGAAAAAATAGTCAGCAGGAGCATTAAATGTCTAAAATTAAATAATATAGAATGGTAGCAGGAAAAAAAGGTTCCAAAAAAGATACTAAAATCAAAAAAATTAAAAAAGTCCCCGATGGAAAGGGAATAATCCCATCAATGGAATGACCCTCCATTTTAATGTTTTTTCTGAAACGTTCTGATAACACCTTGTTAACAATAATTTCTCG